GATATCTAAACTGCTTAGGTTCAAATGGGTTAACAAATTCTCACAACTCACGGATAAATTACTTTTAGATATGATTATGCTCAATATAAACAAATGTCTTGATCATTTCTAATGCTTCTACAAAATCACAATAATCAAAAGATTAAGCATGAATCAAATGAATTAAACAAAGTTTATCAGTCATCCTAGCATATAGTAAACAATGGTGGTTTCTCACAATTTGTGGCTTTTGGACCTAAGTGAAACATGCATTCAAATAAGTTGCAACATGAAACAGGAATACACATTTTCACAAAGCACAAAATTCTTAAATCATTCTATAAAGCGCTAACCATGTAACTTGCTTGCATTCACATGTTCAACATCCTATCTTCACCATCCAAACTTGGGAGAATCTTCATTGAATACTTTTATACAAATAATAACCAATCTAGAAGAAGTTCTCATCATTCATCCCTAAACAACACTTAAGAAAACGTAAAAGGAAACAAGTATATATACAATATAAACAATTACGCAAAGCTAAAAAATATAGAAAATATTACAATGCACTTCAATATCTAAACACCAATCCCCGACAACAACACCATTGTTCGAACTGCCGTAAAGTGGCAAGAAGCAAAAATTTAGATTTGGAAGGATTCTCTCCGGGATTTATATCGTCTGCACAGGGATCATTTCAAGGGAAAGAATGTCGTTCAATGATCTCTACATTTCTAAGCTTGTTGTGAAAATTTGTTGATAGATCAACGATATCATAAATAAAAGCAAAAAATATAAAGACGGAAAATATAAAGTAAAAACTTAAATTATAAACGGAGCCTTATTATGATTGGATCTCATCAATTGATAACACATGCATTCTTCTAACCATTTAAACAAAAATCAATCCTTCCTCTGATATCTTTACGTATCACCAACAACAGATGTTATGTCTAACACAACATCAAAAGAATAATTGTATTGTCTCATGGTGATGTCTCACACAACTCAACAATACAAAGCATTAAGAACTGATACTCAAGAAAATGTTAAGCCTAAGTCTATGTCTATAGTCTAGAACCTAATAGATAATCATACTAGATCCAAATCTGAAGAGCATATTTCTATAACGGTTCAAATCAAAGATAAACAGGTAAACAAAGATGACATCCATATCAGCTTCATGATTGATTCATGTAAAACATCATGATCAGAATACGTACATACGCTTAACCCTTTTTACATGCATTCAACTAATTTGGCAAAGGTAAGTGAAAATAGTTCTTCATCTCTATTATCATATATCCTCACAATATCGTATTGATCCTACTCACGCTACTCATACTACTGATTAACAGAATAAAATAGAAGATACAAGTGAATATCAACTTACAAGCTATGTTAAAAGTTTGCTCATTGATAGATGAATATCTAAGATCTAAGATTTGAAAAAGGTTTTGTCAAGATCCACAAATAAGAAATCAAAGATAACATCAACATTGAATCAAAACTAGTTCACAATACATATATTATATGAAATACATAAGGTATCAAAAGATTACATCTAAACCCAACAAGAAATTGAAGTTCTTACCTTCTCCCTCTTAGGGTTTGTATTTCTCTCTCTAGAATATGCAAAGAAATGAAGAGAGATAAAGTTTTAATCTGGAAAGTACAAGTTATGTTCTAAAAAGTGAGAAAAGTACTTAAATAGTTATTATAAAATTTGTCATGTTCGCCCAGTGAATACCACTTTTAGGTACTTAAAGTGCCTCTGAACAGTTAAACTACCCCGAGAAAATATATGAGTTTGTAGTGTGAGCACTTCTTCGCACAGCGAGCTGCTTCGCTACAGCTTCGCCCAGCAAACTTTGGGCCATTTTCCTACTAACTCTAATCTGAGATGGTTCGCTAGGGATTCGTCAGGATCTCACACAACGAGAATTCTCCTTCACCTCGTTGGTGTTTGCACAACGAACATGTTGATTCCTCTTCTTTTCTTTGGCTTCTTTTTCAATTCAATAGTGTATTAATCTTTGATGTTTTTTTCCTATATTTTGCACAATAACACACATCAAGGAATTCAAAGATATTTGCAATATATTTAAGAATCACACAAGAACAAGAAATAAATCTATTAAAACATGAGAAATAAGTTGAAAAATGCAAAGAAAATGGTTCAATATAAGTCAAAATTTGCACTTAACAATTATGCAAGATGAAATGCAGGTCATGCTATGCAGATAACATAGATGCTATGATAACGTGTCGATTCAAATGTTCACGGTCAAAATTGGGGTATGACCCTTGTATATCTTAGAAATCCTTAAGTCCTAAAAGCGTTATATTGTATTGTATTATTTATGCACCTATGATTCTATATCAAGTTTATCCACTCAACAATCATTTATATTCTAGGTAGATTGTTAGAAGTATCTTACTAAGTGTTTGAGCAATGAAGCCTCGAGGCTATGTGCTTGAGCAAGGAAGTATTGAGCTTGTATGCTTGAGCAAAGAGGTCTTAAGCATGTGTGCTTGAGCAAGAAAGTCTTGATCCTGTATGCTTGAGTAAGGAAGTATTGAGGTTGTGTGTTTAAGCAAGAAAGTCTTGAGTCTCTGTGTTTGAGCAAGGAAGTCTTGAGCTTGTGTGCTTGAGCAAGGAAGTTTTTAGCTTGTGTGATTGAGAAAGGAAATCTTGAATCTGTGTGCTTAAGCAAGAAATTCTTGAGCTTGTGTGCTTGAGTAAGGAAGTCTTGAGCCTGTATGCTTGAGTAAAGAAGTCTCGAGCTTGTGTGCTTGAGTAAGGAAGTCTTAAGTTGGTGTGTTTAAGCCAGGAAGTCTCATACTTGTGTGCGTGAGCAAAACAGTCTCTTGCTTGTGTTCTTGAGCAAATTGTAATTTTGATTGGTTATAGTGAAAATCTCTTGTAAATACAAGGGGATTTGACTACTCTAGGTTTGTGAGAGTAACCAGAATAACTCTGTGTGTTATTTTTTCTTTCTTACATTTTATATCCGTTGCTTATCTCTAACTAACTCAGATTCTATAACCTTATGGTTAGAATATGACTTAAGAGTTTTAAAAGAAAGAAAAAAGTAAACACAATTCAACCCCCTTCTTGTGGTTTTCTCACCTTCATACTCAACAAACACCCTGGTTATACAACACTAAAAATCTTTGGTGCTACATGTTTCCCTTTTCTACGACCCTACCATGCTACTAAATTAGCATATAGGTCCCAAGAATGTGTCTTTCTTGGCTATTGTAACTTCTATAAAGGCTACAAATATCTCAATTCTAATGGTCGTATCTATATACCCAAGGATGACTTGTTTAATAAGTATAGATTTTCTTATACTGACCTATTCCAAACTAGCGCTCATGCCTCACAAGCATCACAACATAACGACTCTTTCACATCTAGCCCTCAAATACCATTACATCTTCCTCATCAACCTCTCACACCTATTCCCATCACCATTATTCATATTTCTCTCCTAGCTAATCTTAACTCCACTCCTATACCTTTTTCTTTACATTCTCAAAATAGTCCTAGTCCTCTTATACAAACCTCAAATATCTCTCCTTTACTTTCTCAAAACAGTACCAACCCTCCTATATAAACCTCCAATAGCTCTAAATACATATTTTCTCTTTCACCTCAAAATTTACCTAACTCTAATCAAACTATTCCTTCCAAATTCATATAGTTTTGTTCCTATGCTTATACCGTGTGCACCTCCACCCATTACTCGTCCTACGAGTACGATGATTTGCTTTAAAACAAAACTTGACACTTATTGCACCTCCTCCTCATCGTGACCCAATTGGATGAAAATGGGTGCTTTGGGTCAAAGAATACCTGATGGTTCTGTTAACAAATACAAAGCACGTCTTATGGCCAAGGGTTTTCATTAAAGGGTAGGTGCTGAATTTACCGTGACCTTTTCACAAGTAATTAAACATGTTAATGTGCGTACTGTACTCACTATTGCAGTAACAAACAACTGACCCATTCAACAGATAGATGTTAATAATGCCTTTTCAAATGGCATTTTGGAAGAAGAATTTTATATGCAGCAACCTACTGGTTTTGAATCCACAGGCAGAACTTTACTTTGAATCTCTCTACATAGATACTTTGGTTTCAATCTCTCTTGTTAGAACTAGGATGCAGATTCAACACACCTCAGATTTTATGTGATAATCTTAGTACCGTTTCTCTAGCACACAACCCTACTCTACACAATCGTACAAAACACTTGGAACTGAACATTTTCTTTGTGAGAGAAAAAGCACTTAGCAAGAATCTGATAGTCTTACATGTTTCTGTTCAAGACTTGGGCATATGCACTAACTAAACCACTCTATGCCGCTAGATTCTGCATTCTTCGTGACAAATTTCGTGTGTTTGACAAACTCAGTTTAGTCAAGACACCCTCCACTTGTAAGGGGGGATGTTAGAGTTGTATTAGACAAGTTGCTGCTTGTCTATTAAGAGTTAGTTTAATTAGTTGTTACCAGTCGTAGAGTTTGTTAGCATAGTTGTTGCTAGTTGTAGGATTAGTTATCTTAGCTGATACCTGTTGTAGAATGGTAAGAGTTAGTTAGCCTTTATATCTAACTAACTCTGTTATAAATAGAAGTCATTGCTCACATTATAACATATTGAAAACATTAATACATTAAACGGTTTTCCTTCATTTTCTCTCTTCTATACTTTTCTAACACTCACATACAAAAGCTAAACCCACAACCAGCATACCATACAAAGAACCCAGCAGGACACTAATAAAACTCACAAACTTTATGAAAGCCAAACCATGTCCTCCACCGGAAGCGCTCCAAAGGATTGATAAACTCACAATAGAACATTTCCAAAGACACCCAAAATTATAGCCACTGAGCCAGCCACTCTGATATTTCTTTTCGAAACACCAAGAGACCCCACCGTTTTCACCAACACCAACTCTCCCAATTGAAATAGTTATTTGAAATACAATCTTATATTCTTACAACTATTTAGCTGGTTTCAAAAAGTTCTTGAACCATTGAACAGATTGTTTTGGATATCTCTTCAACTTGTCATTGTAGTCAACAAAATACAGACCAAATCTTGAAGTGTATCCACCTGCCCACTCCCAATTATCCAGCAATGACCAAGCAAAATATCCCTTCACATTGCAACCATCATCTCTGCAATTAGACAAACCAATACTTCATTAATTAACTTGTTAACTTAAACTATTGATCATGGAGATAACTAACTTATTACATACTTAATAGCTGTTTGTAGATACGATAAATAGCCGCTGTAGTATCTAATCCGTTTCTCATCCTTCAAAGCTTCATCCACGGAGATAAGTTTACTATTTGGATCATCCATCCCTATGAAACCATTATCAAATAAAATTTATACTTTATCATAAACACCTAGTATCAACTATGTAGTTATTGCAGATGGAACTTCGAGATATCATGAGAGTTTGATGATTACCATTTTCGGTGATAAAGACAGGAGGGTTCCCATACTTTTGTTTGATGTAGTTCATTAAGGTTCTCATACTTTGTGGCACAATATATAACCATATTGAATTTGCCTGCAACTCAGAATTTATATAGTTGATTATAATTGAGTATGATAACAAAAAATTACATTACATTATGATGTAGAACTTACCCTTTCTGCAATAACATTAGTGCCATTGAATGCTGAAAATAAAGAAACAGAAATAATCACTTAGTGGTGATGCAAAACCGAAAAATTATAAAGCATTGCTGAAATCTATTACCTTGCCTGCAACAAATGCGAGGTGATGATCAGCAACAATTTTAGCATCTCAGTGAAGGTAGCCATAGGAATAGTAAGAATTACACTCAATTGTTTTACGAGTAAAACAAAGTATGCAATAAATGTTACCAAAAGTATGAGAAAAGGTATCCCATACAGATGGACCTCTTCCATCTTCTTTCACTGCTCCTTCATACTACACAGTACAAACTACACAAGTTAATTAATTAGCAGTTAATTATGAATATAATAAAGTTTATACAGAAATAAAAGTTAAACGAACAATAAGCTGTACAAATAACCTGAAAAGCTGAAGAGGCAGTGCCAAATACAAAGCCATTTGGAAAATCTGCCCTGCTAATCTCCGCCGAAAAACATATATGAATCTCTAATAATATTAATACTGGAACAGCAATGGTTCTAATAGCCATCAAATTTAATTAAGGGGATTTAACTTGGTAAATATGAGCACAGTATATATAAGAGATGAAATGGCGGAACAAAATAGTCTAATAATGAAATGGAATGGAATGATAACGCATAGGTGAAAGGTGAATATTATAACTTAACAACTGAATTAGCGATAATTTTAACTGACATTTTTAATATTAAGGATAAAAACAAATTGAGATATTACCAAGTACTGTAAACATGTTTAAACCTAAAAATAATAATGTGCCATTAAATTATACTGTTTCATAAGTTATGTATACCTATATTCAACGAAATTCAAAGATATTGGATAATGAACCACACACTACCACTCATTTGCATGAATTCACGACTATTGCTTTAGCACTATATATGTCATTATCCTATTATTGTTTAATATGCCTACACACAGTTGCGCACACTACCCTTATTTCATTCTTCTTCTTTGGAATTTTTATGCGCATTAATCTTTGCAATGCAATTATGATTAAATTTTATTTTGCAATTTAAAAATATGTCCTAGAAAAAATCGAGAATTTTTTTTAGAATAACTAGGTTATTCAAAAAAAATATCAATTAAATTAAAAATTAAAATTAATTATGGCTACAGTGTGCAAATAGGAATGGATTCGCTAAACCATTTGACGACAGGGTTTGTGTTGGACTGGACTGGCGACTTAGCCCAATCTTTTATATATATATATATATATATATATATATATATATATATATATATATATATATATATATATATATATATATATATATATATATATATATATATATATATATATATATATATATATATATATATATATATATATATATATATATATATATATATATATATATATATATATATATATATATATATATATATATATATATATATATATATATATATATATATATATATATATATATATATATATATATATATATATAATAATAATAATTCGTGTATAAATTAATAAATATAGTTTTTAAATTATAAATTAATTTAAATAAAAATAAAAATTTATTTAAATATAATTTTTAAATTTTTTGATATAGTTTTATAAAAAAAATAAATATGTTTGTATATAATTTTTAAACATAATAAATATAGATAGATTTAAAATTTAAAACATAATAAATTTATGATTAACATAATTCGTATATAATTTTAAAATATATAATTGTAGGTCACTTTTGAAATTTTAAAGTATATAAATTTTGTAAGGGTATTTAAGGCATATTATATGACGTACGTACTATTTAATTTTACTATAAATACGGTTGCACACACATATATTTTTCCACAATATTTTATACCAAAAGACTGAAGTCTTAATAATTTTGAGTGGAGTGGAGTCCAGAATGTCTGCATTTCTAAATCAACGTTCTTGATCATCGTCATCAGCATCAGAGGAACTGTTTTCAACATTTCCTCTAATGAAAAAAATACCCTACTTTATTTTTCAGCAACAAAGCCTCCGATGAAGGTGCTTCTGTGGAATACGCAGACATTGAAGCATTTGCATAGGGAACTGAACCGCTGGCTAGAAGGAGATATTGCTCCAGGCGAAAAGATTAGGAAAATTGAGAGGTTGGTCGAGGAGGCAGGGAGAAACGGAGTTACTCGTGAATGGAGAAAAGTAGAAAATGATGTTGGTGTCTTTGTGTTGATGTTAACACCAAAGAAGATAACGTTGATGGTTGTGATATCGTAGACCCCTTGGTGCATTATTCTGTTTTATGTCGTTTTGTTGTTTTTATTTTCGGAATGTTGTTGTGATATTAAGTTATGTTTGTTTAATTTTTTTTGCTTGCTAATTATAATCGGTTAAGTATGCTTTAAATGGAATAAAATTTGCTTTTGATTTAAAGGGACACGGTTACATTAGAAACTATGATCTTGTGCTTGATCCTACGTTAGGAAATTTTGTACGATTGTGTCCTGGTTGCCAACACGAACTACATAATCTTACCATCTTGTTTGCAGTATCCATCTCCGTTCGAATGCGTGTGCTGTTAGGGTAACCCTTTTTCTTTCTTCGCATCAAATCATTATGCCAGACAATTTCTCCTTCGTATTGAGGCTAATAGTCCTCCTTTGCCACCACCTGAAAGTTAGATGTGTAGACATTGCATAGACTTATCACTTGGTGAACTGCAGAAAGAAAGTTGGCTGGGTCCTGGCGCGCCTTCGAACATGCTGCTATAACATGAGAGCAAGGCATACGAAATGCCTGAAACTTCTCACAATCACACCAGCTCTTATCCAGTTCAACACAGTAACATCCCCTAAGTCTTCCTTCGTTATGATCAATCGACTCGGAAACACTGAATCAACCTTTGTTACGGTCAAAGATTGTGACCACATGTGTGTTGGCTTTGGCAACTTCGTCTTTCATGAATGTTGTTGAACTACCACTGTACAACTGACCAAATTGTAATACTGCACTCCACTTCATACGTCTACTATCAAAGAGTGTGCCTAGCCTAAAATATGTTGCCTTTATCAAGGCAGTTATCGGTAAGTTTCGGATTCCCTTGAAAACAGAATTCATTGATTCAACGAGGTTAGTTATCATGTGGCCCCATCGCACCCCGTTGTCGTATGCTCGTGTCCATTTCTCTTTATCAATGTTATCAATCCATCTTAATGCATCCGTGTTTGTTAGTATAATCTCGTCACGGTAGTGTTTAAATGTGGGCTCTGTTAGTGCATATCCTGCGTTCACAACCTTCTTCCGTAGTGTTTTGTCTTTGATTTCCCGCATGAAATTTTGCGCGATATGTCTTATGCAATACACATGGGTCGAGGGAGGATCCTGTCAACCGTTATCAAGATTATTGTATGCACTCTTGATTGATGGGTGTCTATCCGAGATCAAACATAAGTTAGGTTGGGGAGAAACATAAAAGCGGAGATTTTTTAAGAAAAAACTCCAACCCCCATCAGTCTCCCCTTCAACTATAGCGAAGGCTATTGGAAAAATGTTGTTGTTCCCGTCCTATGCTACAACCATGAGTAGGGTGCCCTTATATTTCCCGTATAACCATGTGTCGTCAATTTGAATTATAGGTTTACAATATGCAAACCCGTTGATGCATGGTTCGAACGCCCAAAAGAGTCTGTGAAAAATTCCATTTCCATCAACGCAAGTCCCGTCTGGTGTACACGCTGGCATTGTCTCCAATATGGCAACAGTCCCTAGAGAGTATTGTTTAAGAGCCACCAAGAATTTTGGAAGTTCCTTGTACGACTCCTCCCAATTTCCAAACACCCTTTCAACCGCTTTAGTCCTAGCAATCCATGTTTTTCGGTATGAATGAGTGTAATTGTGCCTTTGAACCATATGTGCAATTATGGTACTCACCTTCAAAGACGGGTTGTCGCTAATGACTGACAGAATCTCATCGCAAATCAATCGAGAGCTGAGCTTGCGATGATCCTACATCGGATTCGAGATTATACAAGTGTGGGATGGACCCATTGACCATATCTTCCAGGAATCATTTCTCTTCCTGAAAGACGTTGTTAATCGGAACGGACACACCTCGTTACGATAATAGATCGTATACCGAGTCAGATTTGTTCGATCGACTCTATAATCGCCTGACAACTCCATGTAATATTATTTAATTTCCTGGACACAATCTTCTTTGGTACGAAACTCGTCACCCTCTTTTAGTTTCCCTTCTGTTGTGTAGTTAGGGTTGTAGAAAATATCTGTTGAGGGTTCATCATCACCTAAGTAGAGAGTTGTCATGTGTTGAGGTGGGAAATAAACATGGTCGGGTGGAACCCTCTCTTCTTCGTTGTTCACCATCTCGTCAACAATGACTTCAGCTATTTCTTCTTCTTCGTCAATGACATTGACTTCAGCATGTTCCTCATCAGATTCACAAAAAACTTGAGAAGAATCAAGTTGTTGAGACAGTTGTTGTTGTTGTAACATAACATGTAACACGATATCTGAGAAACCAGAATGCTCGTGACTGCGGAACATGTTACGCACATCTTCATCGTCTCGAACCTTTAATGGAAAAAATTTGCATTCACCATGCCCCCCAAAAAAACACTGGATTTTTGTATATTATTTGGCCAACTGAACCACATTGCAGTTTTTTTCTAATCTTGACTTCAAGTGTAAAAAATTTGACCTTCTGTCAATTAAAAATCTCGTAACAGTGTTTCTGAAATTGTAACCCGCTATGTCAGATTCAAAAATTTCACTGTTAAGATGTGCAGAAATCATGTATTGCGGTGTTTGAGACATAGCGAAAATTGTGTTTGGAAAGACTGTTTTACTAATTGATATGATAATAATACAGATCTCTCTATTGTATTAA